GGGCTGACTTGGACCCCAACTAGTTGGCTGAATAAAGACTTTGCTTGAATTTACATCTCTATGCCTGTGTAGTTTGTTCTCTGGGGAAGCCTCGGAAGCCTGGACCCTAACACTTTGACTTACAAAAATGACCATTTTATACTGCTCAAACTAAAATTTACACTCAAATACTTGTTGCAGGGTCTGCTGAGACAGTTATCTACCTACTCTATCCAAAGATTGTTCCTTCGAGGCAACACCCAGCCACCCCACCAGCACTGGGACAGTCAGTGGGAGGAAACTGTTGAACCAAGTCTGCGGGACAAACCCCTGGGGTCCAGAGAGGACCACTCTGCTTCCTCTGGTTCCACAAAACAGTGGGGCCCAGAGGGTTGGGGTTGGGAGGACAGAACAACACAGATGCTGCTCTACATGAGCACATGCTTCCCTAGATATTACATATTACAATGGGAAGTGTGGCCACAAAATGAGGAAACCATGAGAGATAAGGAAATGTGGAACTGAGGAATGCAATGGAATGTTTGGAAGCAGAAGACCTGGGTGTGGCCTGAAAGTCTGGAAAAAGGAATTGTGGATGAGATCAGGAAGCTGACTGTGAAAAGTCCCAGAGGCTTATTTGACCTGGTTCCAACCCTCCCTTCTAGAGAACTCAAGTCCCTCAGAGGTAAGAGAGAGCTCTGAGTATGTGAATAGGCTCAAGGACACTTTGGTTAAATCAGAGTCCCAAGCATAAACATGTCACTTTCACATCTCAAAGTGAGCCACCAAGCAAAATTAATCTACATCCGTGGCTCAGAGGCTATGGGGACCACCCCACTAACCAGCAGGACAGGAGTAGAACTTCGAGTAGAAGCCAGGCCCATTTCCACCCACAGTAGGATATGCATCTTACCTGGAGCTCCATCACACAATTTTCATAAAATAATAATTAACCTAACCGCAATGCATTTCAGTATTTTCTATTCTATCTTATATTTCCTAAATGCTGGACATGACCCATTAACTGATTTCACAACCCACTTTTGGGTGGCGACCCACAGTTTGAGTGTATCCTTCTGGGGTGGATCCAGAAATGAAAGGGTGTGGTATTTCTGGACTTCTCCTAAATACTGTCAGCCCCCACGTCCCATTCAGGACCACAGGGATTGCTGGGCTGTGCGAGGTGTTAAAAAAACAAAATTCAACCAACTAAATTTGAAGATCTAATTGGCTTTATTAAGTGTTTCATGGATCAAGCAGCATCCCACCTAGCAAGTAGAGTAATGCTCCGAAGGGCAACAGAAAGCTTTTTAAAGGCAAGACAAGGAAGTCATAAACAGCAAAAAGGGTTGTTTCAGAGGTCACCTCCATCTGGGGACAAAAGGGCCTTATTAGGTAGATTCCTTTGGGGAATGGAGAGGGCCCAGGTGACATTTTCTTATTGATGCTTACCAGAAAATTCCTGACTGACTACAATCTGCGGGAGGTTGAAACTGCAGCTAGGTGAGGTATTAAGCCCCAGTTTGGTGACTTTGCCTAACAGAAGTGACCCCAGGTTGGGCCTGTGTCTATCTTTTTAACGGTTCCCTCCCTTATGATCAGATTCTCAGCCTGATGGAGAGATGTGATCAGAATGTCAGGCGTCAGCACCACTGTCAGTTACTGCTCTGTAGCTGCAGCTTTTGTAGCTCCTCTTACGTGGTGGTGTCCATGGGTCATGACATTTGTGCTTTTACCTCTGTGATATTCACAGGTTAATTCAGATTCAATGAGAGCCTTAAGTCAGTCATTCTCTTCAATTCTCCTCTGAAGTTCCAGTATCAGGGAGGTCATCTGTTTGGTAGTTAGTTGTTTAACTGCATTTAAACCTTTTCAGAGAATACAACACATCAGAGATTATTATGGTAATTATAAAGCAGGATGATTCCAATGTTTGGAGTGCATTTCAGAGCAATGGTGCCCAAACCCAAACCAATCAAAATGAAATAAATCAAAGAAAGACACCTTTTTAAGCTAAGTGGCTTGTTCTGTGATCCTATTTAACCGAGTTTCAACTTCCCCAGAAGTGTTAATCCAGCTTCAGCAGGTGGTGTGGCCACAGCACAGACGATTCCCTTGCTCAGCTAAAAGATACTCAAGGGCTATACAGTCATCAAGAACAACTTTGGCCAGAGAGTCTGAGGATCTTTGTTGGGCAGCTATTGCTTCAGTAGCAAATTCTGCAGTAACTTCAGAAATTAGGAGAAGTTCCTGATCATATTCCCCTTACCTTTACCCCTAACCAGGGAAGCAGGGACCTACCTACCAAAAGAAACCATGAAAGCCTGTGGGAGGTTTTAAGCCCATGATATAAATGTAGGGGAATTTGCCAATGAGATACCTTATTTTGCTAGTAAAAAATTAGGGACACAGTTTTCTCCTAGCCTGAAATTAAAAACTGTTCTAAATTCCAGAGGTTACCACCCTTAGCAAGGGCTGAGGAGCTATGGATGAGAGTGTTATCTTTCCAGGCCAATGCTAGAGTAAAGGAAAGGAAAAGAAGAAGTAGTTTCACACCTAGTTGAAGTATAAAGTCTTGATCCATCATCTTGGGGTGAAGCAGTCTACACCAATGTCAGCTTCTCTTCCTCAATCTGATTCAGAGGTGGTCTCCTGTGTCTGTTCAAGACCAGGTGTCAATGTGAGCCGCATTTAGTTGTGAGATGTGTATCCGGGTTTCAATGCCCTCTAATTCTGCAACAGTGTCAGTGGTCAGGAGCACTCAGAAAGGTCCTTCCCAGGGTGACTCAAGAGCTCTCTTCCTCTGATGTTTCCAGTATACCCAGTAACCAGGCTCTAGTCTGTGACCAACTGGATCCTTTGAACTGGGTTGTGGTAAGGATTCTTTTACCTGCTGACGATATGCTTGGGCATAATATATTAGACACTTGCATTTTAGCATGATATACAACAAGGGACCAACAAAGGTTGTACACCAATAGACATTGTTCTGCTGCTAACTATCTCATATGGAGTGAGTTTATGTTTTCAAAAGCTGGTACTGTGAACAGTCAGCAAAACCAAAGGCAATACCTTAGTCAGGGAAGTCCAGTAGTTTTTGCAAGTTCAGAAACTTTAAGATTGAGGTCCAGAAGTTTGCGGGGCTTTCCTTAAAGCTTTTACGATTTGCACAGTGAAGTGAGGACCCCTATCATTGGAGATTACAGAAGGTACACCCTAAGTGGAAACATGTTCTAACAGTTTCTTTGTTACTGTGAGGGCACCAACTATGTAACAAGGGAAGGCTTCAACTCTCTGGAAAACAGAGTACAATAATAAGAACATTTTATAACCTATACTAAGTGGCAGTTGAAGTTCAGCTGCAGTTGTTCAAAGGGTCCAGTGAGAGGAGGTCTGAGGCCTCTGGAAAACAAAATGGTTTCTCCTTAAAGGCACTACGGTGAGTGAAGAAATGCAAAAACCAAAAGAAAAAAGGAGTCTGACAGGGATCCAGGAAGGGACCGCAGCCATCTTGGGGTTCCCATAGCCCTGACTGTTTAATTTGCAATCATTGTTTGCTCATCTTTCTCTGACTCTGGTGAAGATTGTTGCTACATCAGAGGAATATCAGGATGGCAAAAGTCTGGCAATAAAAGGCCAAATTTTGCAGAAGCTGAATGGACTTCATTTACATGTGCCATAATCTCTTTATAGATTTATTGGGTATTGAAGAGACTCGGTTTTCTTAAGAAATCAAAGACCTGATTAAGACAATGAGAAGCACAAGAAATTATTCTGATAAAACAAAAACACTAAGGACAAGGAAAACCCTTCACAATCTCTTAATATTAAGCAGACCAATAGTTCAAGAAAACTCTGTTCTTTCAAACAAGAAGTTCCAGTTTTACATAAGATCATTATTGATATTAAAGCTTACTTTTGACATTTAAATCATTTTTTTTTGAGAGGGCATCTCTCATTTATTGATCAAATGGTTAACAACAATAAAATTCAGTATAGGGGGGTCAATGCTCAATGTACAATCATTAATCCATCTCAAGCCCAATTCTCGTCAGTCTCCAATCTTCTGAAGCAAAACGAACAAGTTCTTACA